TTTTAATAAATTTTCAAATAAAAAATACTTTATAAAATACCACACTCAAGCAATCTCTCAATAATCCTTATGACCTTTTAAATAGGTCATCTTATATGACTGGCAGAAAAAAAAAATGTTTCCTAGAAGGCAAAGTTGCTGATGCTGTACTAAAGTACATTAATGGAAAATAAAGTAATTTACTGGTTCTGTCCGAGCAAATTTGGTGGGAAATAAAGCATGGAGACAGCAATCATGAAAAGAAAGGTTTTCTGTTAAATTTTCAAACTCTAGGTTTAACTCATTGATTGAATGCAAAAGCCATGTGATAGTGTATAGTTCCATCTAAGTTACAATTATTCTTTGCCTAAACAGTAATGCTACATATAAAGAATTAGTTTTTCTTAAAAATAAATAAATAAATAGCTCGATGAAGATGAAGTGTATTTTATATATTTAATGTTCGATTATTATTTTGAATTTTTGAGGAAGACGATACAAAAATAATAAGAACATGTTTTTTTATATAATGATATAAAATTATTTTAAAATTATAGCTTATATGCAAATTCATTTTATATTTTTTTCAATTATATATGTTTTTATTTTATATTTTTTTTGTATTATAATACACTAATCAAGCCAAGCAATCAAATAATTGATATTATTTGAAATAATTAACATTACTCTTGAGTGAATGGCTAGTAAAAAAATCTGAGACAGGCAAATAAAAACCAAAAAAAAACAGAGAGAAAAAAGGTGAATTGGAAAAAAATATTGCATGAGCAAAATGGATTTATTGATTAATCTAAGAAAAATAGTAAAGTATGTTGGAATTTTAATTGCGTGGACAAAGTATTCAACCTCTGATATAGTGTGAATAAATACTAATAGATAATAGGTAAGAAAATTCTGCAAAAGTATGTAATCAATGATAAATTTCCCTGTAATTAAGATGAAAATAAAATTTACCAGCATGGCGAACTTTTTGATGAAGCTCCAAGCTTTCAATCTTTGGAAAGACCTCTCCACACTGAGTACAGGCACTAATAGTGGTTCTGGCAGAAGGGTATCTGGATTTTTTTAGCCCAAAATTAATAAATGATATTCTATATATTTTTTTCCTTTTGTTATATTCCAGAGAAAACGAGAAATTAAGAGGAAAAAATGAATATGAAAGTGAAATATACCTGCTAGGTTCAACGATCATGTGACATTCGTAGCAACCCGAAAGCTTCCTGAATTGCATGCCTCTAGAGGATGACAAGTGCGTTACACCACCGTTGGATCTCCCTGACCCCGCCAATGACCGAGTTGATGATGACCCGGCGCTTACATCTTTCCGACTCAGTAGCCCAGTTTCTTGACCCACAGTGCTGCTTTCAGGTGAGTTGTCAGCTCTATGAACAACCCTCGTGTTGCCATGAACAACGGCTTTGAAACTACATATTGAGCTGCAGGAAGAGCCGAATTTTGGGTATCCAGTGGGGTTCTTTGATGGGTCGTGTACTCTTGAC